GTTTGGCCAAGGACTTTGTGAGCCTCATGCTCTGCCAGGGAGGAGGGGAAGCTGGGAGGAAGCAGAGACAGGACACCTGACCCAAACTGACCAAAGAGGTATTCCATACCACAGCACGTCATGCCCAGGATGTAACTGGGAGTTAGCCGGAAGGGCTGGGAGACTGCAGGGTTGGAGGAGGTATCGGTCGGAGCTTGGTCGGGCTTGGGGGGCGAGTTATCGGTCAGCGGGTGGTGAGGTGTTGTATTCTCTTCCCTTGTTATTTCCTTTATCATTATTATCATTGGTGGTAGCAGTAGTGATTTGTGTTATACCTTAGTTACTAAACTGTTCTTATCTCAACCCGTGGGAGTTGCATTCTTTTGATTCTCCTCTCCGTCCCTCCGAGAGCAGGGGGAGGGCAAGAAAGGGGGGGAAGTGAGCAAACGAATTACCTGACTGGGTTTAAACCACGACAGGTGCTAGCAGTCTTAGAGAGGTGCAGCTCACCCATCACCTCCACCTTCTCCAAACATATAGCCCTCTGAATCAGGTCCACAGGGGTTGGTTTGTTACATTAAATCAAGACCACAAGGTTAAAGTGACATAGACGGAAGGGACAAAGCACTTTATTCCAGGTAGGCCTTCAAAATCAGATCGTCTGTCAACAAGTTGTCTGGAGGAGAGAAGTGGGGAAGGGGAAGGCAGGACACATCTTAGGGCCACTCAGGACCCTTTATGTGGGTTGTAGCCATTTAGTCTTCAATAAAAGGCGAATGCTTTCCATAGCAACCAGGGTAGCCTCCTCTGAGTTAGCCATTGCTTTAATAAAGACAGATGTTGGCTGGAGAAAGTCTTAACAAACACATGTAGAGCTTTGTGGTGCAGTCCAAGCAAACAATCACCTTGAAGAAGTCATGTTTTCCTGGGAAGGGTGTAAGAGCTAATGTAGGATGCTGCCAGCTTTCCCTGCCTCTGCTGCGTGCTCGCTCCTGGAAGCTGCAGGTATCTAAGTGGTTGGAGCCAGGTGTTATTTAATGGTGTAAGCTGTTAGAGCTTGTCCCAAACTCCCCACATGCACATCAAATCACTGCTTTCCTGAAATCTTATGCCTGGCTGGTGTTGCCCTGAAATGCACCTTTTTGCTTTAATCCCCCTAAATCTTATAGAAAGATGCAGTGTCTCTTTGCTTGGGAAGTCTGGGGGATGCTCAATAAATCTGTGGGTTTTTATTCCCTTACCCCAAGAACATGTCAGGGTCCCTTACGGTAAGCAGGTTTGGATACAAAATGCTAGTAGATCTACCTCAAAGAGGATGCTCTGATTTTTAAGATCTGAAGCAAAAGGTTTCTTGAGGAAGTATTCGATTAGTCACCAATGAATTACAGTTGTCAAGTGTTATTCACCTGTAATGAGAGTGAATTTTTCACTCAAGTTTCATAGCAAAATAACATTCTTTTTCAAATAGAAGTAATTTCAATCAAGTAAGACCTTCTAATACCACTATCTGTACAAGTAAATTACTTTCAGAGTAATTAAATATGCATATCTGGGCTGTATACTGTACTGATGAAACAAGCTTTATGGATGCAATATGCTTATAAATCCCTTAGGTATTAAAGATGAAGAATCCATGGCATTTTGCATTCATAGAGCCATGAATAAGAAAAAAGAGATTCTTTTTTCCTATTGCATCATTTTGGGGAATATCTTTTTTTTATTAACTTTTCCTGCTTAATTAATATCTTTTGCCAAATAGCAAATACGATCCCCATATTTATTAGGCTGACATTTCCCGGAGACTTAAAGCTCTGTAAGAATTTCCAGCATTGTATGTGCCTGGATTTATGATCGTGACACAGGCGCCCATCTCCTGCAGGTTCCCAGGAAGCAGAGCAGTGCAGTGAAACTGAAATCACTATGTTGCCTGAATTCCCTACCGCTGGACTTGCCCCACTATGAAATAGCACTGCTCAGCCAGTTGGGATTCATGGGCACAGCCCTTCATGGGATCATCAGCCCAGAACAAACACAAATACAGGAAGGAACAATAACAGTGGTGTGCATCTGACCTATTCTCCCACCTTGCAAGACTTTGTCATGGGTACCAGAATAGCGACTGCCTGTTTGTGGTTGTGCAAATGGGACAGTTCGTTAAAACTGGAAAGGAAAGAGAAGCCAAACCTCAAAACACGGCGCTGCTGGTGGAGTCTTCAGTGACTAAATGCGTTCTTTATGCTCACAGTACATTATGCATGATGTATGTAAAACACCAGTGTAGAAGGGAGCATAGGAGGTTTGCTGAGAGCATCTGAGTACTGCAGAAATGTTTGGTTAAAGAAATGCCTGGAGCCAGTTCTGCAGAGCTCTTCAGAAGCAGCCTGAAATCCCAGCTGGTCACCCCTTCCAAAGCAGCAAGCACAACTGTCTGCTGCTACCCAAATGCAAGAGTGAATTCAAGCATCATGACATGCGGTCAGTACAACCTCTGCTTGCAAGTCAGCTGCTTTGTGCTGCACAACATGACTGATCCGTAGATATTTTATGCCAATACAACATTTCTTATGAAAGACAAAGAGATTCCCTGTTGGGAAGACATTTAGTCTATGTACAGCACTTTTATCTGCTCAGGAGGCTGGCAATGGACACAGAACAATAGATCAATTCTTTCTGTACTCCTAAGGTAAAATAAGAAATGGTGACCTAAAATGCGTATAAAGAGGGAGTGACGAGGACTTGATTTCTCTCCTCTAAGCCCTGTGCTAACATGTGTGAACCAGCAGATTATGTTACCCCTTTGGGACCTGCTTATGTGTGGTTTAGGTTATGCTTTGTGATAGATGGACTTAGATGTTTCTGTAGCCAAGAGGAAAACTAGTAGAAATGTGTGTCAGTTGACAGTCCACAAAGTATTGAAGGTTGAACATCATTTTTGACCTAGGATAAGGTAATAATTTGATGAAAGATTCAGTTGCATCCAGTCTAATTGTGCACATACGTTATGCTGGAGGTAGCCACTCTCTGCATGTGCTTTCTTAATCTGTCCTTTGGGTGTCTTGTTATCTTTGTCTCCATCCTGTCCCTGAACCCCAGCCTGCAAACCTCAGCATCTCCACATGCTCTGTTTTCTGGAGCTACCACTGGAAGACAAAGCCACCCTGTTTAGCAGATTTTCTGGCAGGGTTGAAGTTGGAAAGGAAACAAAAGTGGGAATTTGGGTGTGGATATGCTGAGTGAATCCTTGAGAAATAGGCTTTGGCAGGTAGCTGTGTGGGATTGCTCCTAGGAGGGCTGTATATAAGTCTTTTATAGTACTATTGATCAGACCTGATTTGCAGGTCAAGGTTTGGCCTGTAATAGACCATTTATACAATAATACTGCTTTTAGGCAGGGAAGTCCAGTTTGGAATTTTAGGAGGGTCCTATAGCAACAGCCCTAGGTCATATGCAAAAGAAACTATACATATTCAAGAAGGGAAAATTACAATGTGGATCTCTGTTCAATTCCTGAATGCATGCATGTTTGTGACCACTTTGCCAAGTTGAACTCCAGGTTTGTGCCAAAGCATTCTCAGATCAGCATTATTAGTGTAATGTAGCACAATTCCCAGTAATTAGGAAATGGATCTTCTTGTGTGCTTGAAAATGCCATGGTAGGACAAGGACATTAAAATCTTTTCTTCCATTGTCATGGTCTCTTGGGTTTAGGATGTCTCCAGTTCTCACAGAGGCTGGAGCATTATTTTCCATACCCTTTTTCCCCCATTTAGCTTCTAGGTACTTAGACAAAATTGAGGGAAGAAGCCTTATCTGAGAACCTTTTTAGTGCTGTGCTTTTAAACCTTTAAAAGCTTTTGCTGAAAAGGTACCTATTTTCTTATCACTTCTTTTTTTCCCTCTCCAGAAAAAGGGCATCATTTGAAGTTCTTTTTTGGCACCTGTGTTTCATCGTGATGCATTATGTCAGGGCACATCAGTTACACGACCATTTTATGGGAAGAAAACCCCCACCCTTTTAGATGACCCTGCCTGCAGCCCCCTTGAAAACACAAGTGTGTTTTTCAAGGAACTCTTCTACTATCAGCAGCATTACTATACTTGGAACTTCATGGGTGTAGTGGCTTTGTCTTGATTATGTAAATGCTGCTTAAGGAACATAGAATTTAACGTGATGAACTGCAAAAATGCAGTAGTTTTCACCTTTTACCGATGTTTACTTTTCAGTATTGGGTTTCTTCTCTTTGTAATCAAACTAATCCCGTGCTCTTCCAGATTTTACCATCAAATGCATTGAGATGAAAATGAGGTACCTCGATGAAAGTGGGCTTCAGGTGTCGCGCACTAAGCATTGTGCGTTTCTCTTTGCTCTGATCCTCCAGCACACATCAGATCTCACCTCTTCACCTTTGAACAAGATTGCACTAACTTTGATCTTTTCAATTCTGCTCAACTCCAGGGAAGGAGCAGCGACTTGAAACCGTGTTATCATTTATACCGTCAGAAAGGAGGAGAAAAAAGAGGGGAATTGAAAGCATGAACTAAAAGCTGTAGATTTTGAACATGACTGTCAGCTTTTGTAGCGAGGGTGTTATGTTTTAACATCAAACGCTGCCTCTGTGTGTAGAACAAAACAAAATGTGGATGATTGTAAAAGCACACAGATTTATTAAACAGCTATTCCATTTTATGTCAGCATTTTTCCGCCCGAGCGATGCGGCTATCCTTTCGCAGGTCAAAGCGTAAGCTTGCTGCTTTGCTTATGGCCCAAGCCTGTTATTTGAGCCTCTCTACTTTGGTGATATTAATTCATGATACTGACAGTTAATCTGGTTTTATAACTGTTATTATCTGAGCAAAATAACAAACTCTGTTCTTTATTTTCTCTTCGAGTCTGAGGATGGTAACAGTGGGAACAAAGTCAAAAGCATGGTATTTTTAGGACCTTACATGGTTTAGCAATGTTCTTACACTGATTGCCACTCACTATGTTGTGTTTTGCTATTATTTTGGTATTATTAGGGGGTATTTTTTGCTGTTGCAAGACAGATTTTCACCTAAATACTTGATTTTCTGTCACAGAACCCTATTTTAAACTGCCCTTTACCTTCTGAAGAACAACGTGGCTGTAAGGTTTGAGGGAGTTTTGTCAACATTATTCTTTTAAAAAGTGATCAATGTTAATATTTCTGTCTGTTTTCTTGCCCAGTTTACTTGGACTTGCATTGTTCCCTCCCTCTTTTTTTCTGCTGAGACTGCAGTTGTTCAGGGATGTTCATGGTAAGTAGCTCTTTGTGTCCATCCTCTGGCTTTATTCTGGGGTGGGTTTTGCGCAACAGTGCAAACGGGAACAGTTTCCCCCTTCTAGGATGTGCTGTTCTTTGAATTCGCTTCCATTAACAAGCTGTTGGAAGCAAGTTAATGCCACATTAATTTACTCTAACATCTGATCCTTCCTGCCTATTCTAAGGGTTGCTTAGACAACAAATCATCTCCTAAACGGTATCTCATAAAGGGCCTGAAGTCCCCTTCCCCCCAGACTGGTGCAACTGTGATTATTAATTCAGAAGAATAACTTACGTGACACTAAAATGTTGGCCACAAAAGGAATAAAGTGAAAGATGTTAGCATGCTATATATGGTTAAAATTATTGACAGAGCTAATCTTCACAGAGATCCTTGAGGCTGTTACTTACAGGGACCAAGTAATACATTTTCAATTCAACAGCTCCTTTCCACTCTCCTTTTTCTATGCAGTTTTCTGGGTGTCAGGAATCAGGCATGTCAAGTCACGTTTCATCCTGTAGTTTCCCTGAAAACATCTATTTACACGTTTAAGCTACTGGATGTATGTGCTGATAAAGGCGTTTGCCTACTCACTCCTTCTCAAGGAGCCTTTGATTTCTTATGGGCTAAAGCTTCGTTGGGTCTTCTCTTTGCTACTTCTCATGACTCCTTTGCGCCTGATTTTTCTAGGCTAATCAAATAAGTTGCTTTAAAAAGTACTTGATTTTCTAGCCTCACCATCACATACACCTTTTGCAGGTAAGCTTTACTTCTAAGCAACTTCTACAGTGGCCATGGTCACCAATGGATTGACACCTACTCGAGCATCACCTTGGGAGGATTGTGTTGGAGCAACCTGGGCTCTTTGGTAATACAGGACATTGGCAGCTGTAGCAGAAAACCGGGTTCTCTTAACAAATGACAGGAACAGGGGGATAATGCCAGTGTGAAATCAGGTAAGTGGAAATGGCCTAATCAGAAGTATTCCTGAAAGAACAATTACTCACTGTCAATTTGGGGGAGAAAATAGGACACACTGTAAAAGCTGACCCTCTTCATGTGTGCACTGCTGCAGTGTGTGTCCAAATATCATCTGCAAGTGAGACACAGGCTATTGCTTACAGACCTCAGGGCCAAGCAAATCCTCTTTTATCATCTCCAGGGTACTCAAACTTGTGGTTTAGTGGGGTTTTGGGGTAAATATCTCAATCCAAGTTTAGGAACATCACTTCAATGCTATTCTTTCTTTCCATTTTCCTATTTTTTTCCAGGAAAAAGTACAAAACCAAATACTCAGTCTGCAAGACAAAGATTACTCATTACAGCACAACACTGAGTTCTTTTAGTAACGCATTATAACTTTAATATTCCAGACTATGTATAAAAACCAGTATAGTATACAGGACAGTACCTCTCTTAAAGGCACTATTAACTATATATGTATTTTTTAGAGGAGTTGGTAGTTAAAAGCTGTCCTTATTGCACCGAGGAAGTAAAATCCACACTTGTTAGGCTCTCATTTCATCCTCTTTCCTATAGTCTCACCTTTCTGGCCCTGCTAACTTTCATGTCCATAATGAACTCCATTTAGCTTCCCTGCAGTAGGACCTTGGCTTTGTTAATCACTGACCCAGCGGCATGAAGCTGCATAGGAGAGCAGGTTCCCAGTTTTTTTTCCTGGGGGATTTTCACTTCTTCCTTCAGCAGTTGTAACTTCTAAGGAGCTGCAGAACAAACATGTAGAAAAGATCAGGAAGAGGGCCTGAGCAAAATAAGGTTTAAAAGATGGCTCATTGTGCTCAGTCCTCCACTGGCTGATGGCTGCAGATTGAAGGCTGCAATCTCAGGAGGAGTTAATGAGATTAGTTCTTTGGCAGCTGATTGCTCGATGCTGTCTTCGTATTCAGCGGTGTCAGTCTCTTTTCCTCTTTTCAGTAACCACATATAAACTTCTCATGGAGATCAGCTGGGACCTCATGGCAGAAACCTCATTTAAAACAACCGCTAATGACTTCACCTTGGGCCAAGTCACAGCACAGCAGCCACCTCCTCCTCCTCCTCCAGCCCTGCTGGGAGTCAAAGGCATTTTCTGGGCTGAATGACCTCGAGCCTCTTCCTGTTGCCCCTTCTTTGCTTGGCTCAGCATGTGCATCCCTTGCTCTTTGTAAATATACCTGCATGCTCATCTTAGCACTATTCCTTTTTCTCAACCAGCTGGAGGTACTGGTCCCTTCTCGGGCATTGAGACTCGCATGTTTTAGTTCATATATGCCTATAGTAATTTTCCAGCTGGGGATTTTTTCCACCTTTTCTATATATATATATATAAAAGGTTAATATGTTATGTACGTGCTACTCAGCTACTGGTGCATTTCTCAGGGCTAATTCCTTTCTGCCTGTGCAGGCAGAGTGAGGGCAAATCAGGTGAAAAAGTAGAGTAGCAACAATTCATACTTGGTTTGCTCTGGCATAAATGACCACCGGATTTGTGAAGCAGTGAAGAATCAGCCCACTGTGATTGAGAGCACAAACACAACATGGTTGGAAAGGCCCAGCTTGGGTGTTGTGCCTCCCTTCTAAGATGACATGCTGATATACGTGATGATCTGCTTTGGGTCATCAGACTGCTGGAGACTGTCCTCTCCTCAGAGGGTTTGTGAGATTCCCTAGGATGCTGCAGGGACACCTTGTGTGTTTGGTTACATGGAGAACCTCTGCTGGGAAACAGTGATAGAAGTGTGGGGACAGCAGTCCTGTTAAGGGACTGGAAAGGTGCTGGGATACCTTCCAGTACAGAGCCATCACCCTTTTCTGTTTCTTTTTCATATTAAACACCATGAAACAAAGCTGCTTACTCTGTGCTACTGATCATTTCCCTGATCTTCAGTCTCCTAAAAGGCTGCATCAGCCTTTCCCTGTACTGAGCAGTAGATTTGAGGGCAAGCTGAAAATAACAGGGTGTAAGATGGGGAGCACACAACCCTGAGTGCTGTACAATTGATGCGGTGTGCGGTGACCCCCGTTTATACGTTCAGCAAGGTGGTCTAACATGCACATAACTTCAAAGCATGGCCTGTTAAAATGGGGGGGGGGGGGGGGTATTTGTGTGTATAAATACATGTGCATGTTAAAGTGCTCTGCTGGGTTGAGGCCAGGACATTCAACAATGTGCAGATGTCTCCAAAGACAAACTGCAAGACAAGCCACAGTCAGTCCCGGTTACATGGAGCGCAGTCCAGCTTTTCAAAGGCTGCTTTTGATAATTACGTATTTTGTGTACTGTGGCAAGATGTGAATTATCAAACCACTAAGAATAATGTAGTTCAGGCAGGGTGGCCTTGAAACAAGACCCCTAGCAGGGAGGTTGTGCTGTATAATGGTAGTACAGTACCATTTGTTTCAACACATTTAGCGCTTCAGAATGGGATTTTTCTTGTTAAACACCAGATGTTCTACTGACCCAAGTGCTGACTTTAAAAGAAGACACAATAGAGTAGTGCGTCAAGGTCAACAGCACAAATTAATCTGTATTATCATGCTGTCATATTATACCGTATGCCCCATATGAGCAAGATCTATGGCTAGTGCTTTCCTTACATGCAACTCAATGGGTGTTTCAGAATAGAGATTTTGAGCTTCCCAAGCCCTCAAATACCCCTGAAAGAAAACTGATTCTTGCTTTGACAGTTTAAATCGTAAATGGAACATCCGTAAAGAGGGTACTTGATGTGTGGGAATGTAACTGTGATCTCGCAGCACTGGAGAGACACACAGCATCGCGATGAAAAGTATGTCTGTTCATTGTGGATTCTGCATTTAAGGACCTTTCTTTCTTTGGGTTGCTTGGTTGCCTGCCTTTTCCTCTTGGCTTAAGAGGTTTTATAGGGCACAAAGGGAATAATCATTTACAAACATTTGAAGGAGTAATACCTGAAATAGGTGCTTTTGTCTCCGTGATCCCCTGTATCCCTCCTCTTCCCTGCCCTGTGACTTCTAAGCTATTGCTGCAAGATGGCAGGATGTCAGTGCCCCCAAAATTGAACCCGTGATTTGTTTTTGTTTGATTTATGGGCTTGTAGTCAATAAACTTTATAAAGGAAAGTATCAGGCCAAGCAATCAATCAAAGATAAGCAGATTCTTGTCCTTTAAAAGCATTTCACCCCGGTAAGCAAGCGCCTCATTCATCTTTTACAACCGCTCTTGCAGCTTTCAGCTTAGAAAGGGCTTGCTGCTGACTACAGCCCCTTCTGCTCAGAAGGCTTGCATCTGAGCTGAGGCTTTTTAAACTCATTGCAGCAGTGTGCTCCCTTCCCATGTTACTTGCTATCTCCAAAAGGGCAGATTGTTTGCATGTTGTTACTGAAGGTAAATCTCCTCGCTGTGTAGAAAGGGAAAGGCTTGTGTTTTAAACCATCAGAGGCATGGGCTGCTGTTTGGCAGAAACACAATTCATTTTCTTTGTTATTTCGCAAAACAAAACGTAACACACGATTCCCATTTGTTCTTTTAGTAGTAGAAATCTGAATTTCCCTTTGAGTGAGGCGAACGTTATCCTGCGTGTTTTGCTTCTCTGAAGCACAGATGGTGTGCATATGCAGATTGGTGATTTTCTAATCAATACAGTGACGCTTGGGAATATATGTAAGTATTGTAATAATGCATTAGTCAGGAGTGATGTTGTAACACACTGAGATCATACACATAAATCTAAGGCACCATGTCTAGACACCCCAGGGAAGATGGCATGCCATGGGTTAGAGCAAGCATTAAGGACGTGCAATATTTCAAATATGATGGGAAAATAATGCAATTTGCAGACTTTAATAAAACCATTGGGGAATTAATTTCGCTAAGGGGACACTCGCTCCCAAAACATCCACGTTCCTGCGTTTGCTGCATGGATAATCAGAACGAGACACTTTACCTGCTATCTCAGGCATAAACACAGTGCAGGATCTGTGAGTTGTGCTGTATCTTTAATGCGCTGAATATGAAAATAATCCCTTTATAGGTAGAGCTTTAGTGGTATAAAACTGCATTATGCAAACAATGCAGAGGCAGCATCAGCCTCGGAGATTCAAAAGTTGAAGAGCTTATAAATTAATCTCTAAAGTGTGGATTTGAGCATGCTCAGGGAGTGCGCTCTGCTGTGAAACCTGACCAACCTCACCCTCCCCATTTTAATTATTAGCTTTTTGATGATCCAACATTAAAAGAAGACATGTGATTTATGACTCTTTGCATGTAGAAGTTTCCTTTCTGTGAAAACATTATGTTTTATGAAGCATCTTTGCTACCTCTGGCTGCTTTTGGTTATTTTCTTGTCTCTGCAAAGCTCTTGGCATATAATTTTCGTCAGCCAGCCTTCTTTCGTGTATTTTTGCCAGTTGATAACTACTCGCAAGTAACTTGTGGTACCGCACCAGGAAAGTTGTGATAAAAATGTCAATTTAAACCTGGCCAAGGATGACAATCATAACTATTTCCAAGTGAGAAACTTGAACAGAATACATAACACAATAGTACTTTTTGCTTTCTGCCAGTGAAATACATTCTGGAACTCGAGAAGTGCCTGTAATGATAACCCTTGCAGTCAAAACCCCACTGAAAAGTTGGCTGAATTGGTAGCTCCATCAGCCTCATCATCTCTCGTCACCTGAAAAGCTGAGGGTAGGAATCTTTACCACACCTGAACGTATTTAATTAAAATATAATCAAGTTGAATGCTGTCTGTAATCAATCCCATTAATTTTGCAGCTATAGGAATTAGTGAATGAGGGAGCTCAGGTTTTGCAAATAGTGACAGTGGTTTATATCCTAACTGAACTGTGTTTCAGGGAATAAGAGGTGCCCATGTTGGCATGGAGCAAACCCAAACATGTCAGTGTTTTCTCCTCCCATCATCACTTTGTTCTTCTCTACTCTATAAAGACAGTCACTGAGTCCTGGTTTTGGTCAATCATCTAATGTGAAGATACTTTGAACCTAGAACCTGAAGTGTTGAGACATAAGTGATGTATTAAAATGCACAAGAGATTCTTGGGAAAGGTGGGATGTCAGAGCTGGGACCATGGCATGGCAACAGTGCTGCAAAGCTTCTCCACAGACAGACCACTACCTCCTTCGGAAAGTAAAGCACCACTTACACTTAAGCTCTTCCCATTTCAAAGTTAGGTTTCATCTTCTAGGACCTTCAGGAAATCTTCCCATCTAGCTGGTGCTACCTTATTATTATTATTATTATTATTAATAATAATAATAATTTGTTTGCACAGTCATCATAATAACTCTATCAGTAGTATCATCCTGTAACCTTATTTTTGCCCTCAAGTAATCTTTTCTATTATCTTCCTCTTTTCCTTCACTTTCCCTTACTCTGGCACTTGATCTTGGTTGAGTTTCTGCTGTGTTTCTATCATCACTTCATCTGTGTTTATTATTTTCATTCTTTATGTCACAGTATGCAAAGTCCATCCAGTATCAAGCACACTAATGTTTTAATTTGGAGATGGTTTTGCTAATATCAGTCTTTGTGAAGGAAATAATTATCAGGTTCAATAAATATAATCTTCACCATTGGCTAGAATAGAAACCAAATCCTGGATTCTTCTTTTCTGTGGCAGCTACCGTAATTCAATTTTAGCCTTTTCTCCCTATTAGATGGATCTTTGCTGTATCTCTTGGTATGTATGGGGAGCTTGCACACAGCAGCTCTGGGTCATGCACATCTTAGTTTATAACTCCTGCCTGCATCCCGCCATGTCTGCCCTTCAACTTGCATTCCTCCTCTTCCTCATGGAGATCTGCAGTCAGAGGGAATGGGCACAGAGCCCCCACCGAACTGTTGGAGATGATCATTAAAACTGGTCATAAGGAATAACTTGTCATCCTGCAGGAATATCAGATACGAGACAGAGCACTTTAACCTTGCTTGACCTTCTGCTGCGCTCTTCAGCTAATTAGATGAATGGGAGTTTTATTGGTGTTTCTGACCCAGATCTTTTACATGGCAGTTCTGTGTATCTGAGCAGCCTAATGCCTCACGTTCTGTAAATCAATGCAGCTTTATCTATTT